ACACCCTTATTTTATTTGTAGATTAGATCAGCTTTCTCCTGATCTTATCAAGAGGTTTCCATATCTGAATTCATATATGGTCTCTCTAAGTGGATAGGGTAGGACTCTATCCTATCTGCTGATTTTATCCCAGATCCGCCCCATCTATTTAACTAATCAAATTAGGCCAGTTCGAAATGGGTTTCAAGCCCAATAAGTCTATGTGCTCAAAACTGCTTCCAAATTGCTGCCTAGTTGGGCTTCTTTGTATGGCGTGGGACCCAAGCATTGATCTACACATCAGCCACATGGGTTCGACCCAGTATTTGTTACAAGGCCTGGCCGAATACACTGTTGTGGACAGTGCACCCCCTGAAATCCATCACTGGGCCTCTATTGGGCCCAACACTTATAAAAACCCAGGGACTGTGGGCAGATGCAAGATTAGCCCATCAGGCATTACCCTCAGTGGCTTTACACTTAACCTCTCAACCCATAATGATCAAACACTACCCGATAAGAGAGGACCTCTCCCTCGGTTGCAAGGAACAGTGTTGCACTCTCTGCTTATATGGATCCCAGGAATTAAAACATTTTGTAAACATTTTAGAAACCGTAATATATATACTTTTATATCTCATATAAAGTATATTTTGCAAAACAAATCTCAACGATTGAAATCGGCGGCCGATAGTCTTGGTTTTCATCAGAGAGAGTGCATCCCCGATCATTACCTTTGTCCGATAAAGGGGCTGATTCTTTCACTATGATCACCCACTCAGATGAATTCTCAGACTGTCCCAACATACACAGGTTTTGAACCCCGCTAAGGATCTCACTGATTGGTACATCAAAGACAACCCAATCCAACACCTAGTGCAGTATCATAATCGAGTATAGGGGTCAGGTGTAACTTTTCAGTTTTGCCCATTAATCTCCAAGGTCCAAGGCAATACTGGAAATCTGGTCCGGTTCAAAGATTYAATTAATCCTAYACTRCATGTGCCTTRGGTYTCACCCTGGCGGCTGAGACAGGCCACCCCAACCGACTTGGTGGCACATCAGTGTCAGCCTTATTAGGATAGGTCTCCCCAGACCAACCCACTAGCTGTGAACATTCTAAACTAACATGAGTCTCATTAAGTGTCCAGTTTAAGGGTATAACACAAAAACAAACCACAAGAACATGAATCAAATATGCACTTTATTCATTTACAATAAATGCCAAAAGTACATCATTCTGATTGGAGCTAAGGGCATACAATGACTGTCTAACAACTCTCACTTGCACTTAGGTCCAATCTGGTACAAGCCGGAGTCTCATGCTTTCCACATGTTTCTCAAACACTTTTTGTGATAGTGGTTTCATCAATGGGTCTGCTACATTCTCCGTTGATGCTATCTCTTAACATCAACCTCCCGTAGGTTTAGTGTTGTCACACAACAGTGGAATGGATGATATGCTGAATTCCAAATTCAAGAATGAACACCTTCATTCATAAGGCAACCTCACTTACGACAATGTGTTCGGCTTGGGTTGTGGACTGTTAATTTGCTACTTAGGACCCCTATTTGCTGACATTCAGGAAACAACACACGATCCTATCGTGAAAACAAATTCAGATGTAGACTTTCTATCATCTGGATCCGACTAGAAATCGGCATCAGTATACACTTGAATCTGTAGTGAGTCAATACACTAGGACGCAGAAGCTACCAATAAATTGGTTTCTGTAACACAAGATTCGAAATTACCTTTTTGGATTCCAGGTAGGCAGGACAGTTTCTTTTTCAGTGGCCGGTCTGTTTGCAGAAGTGACAGGCATCTAATGCTTTGTCTTTCTTCTGCTTCTTACTCTTAGTGGCTTTCTTCTGATGCTTCTTTGCCTTTCTCTTTCTATTGCATGTCTTGCTAGCTTCAACAAGCATAACTACAGGCTCATCCTTTTTAATCAGTTCTTCCGCTTGTTGCAACATGTTGCTGAGCTCTTGTAAGCTGATATTCAGCTTGTTCATGTTATAATTTATGATGAACGGATTAAAGGAAGGAGGCAAAGAATTAAGGATGGCGTCTATCTGGGTCGCAAGGTCCAGCCCGGATCCAAGAGCTTCAAGCTCATTGATGTAGCCCTTCATCCGAAGACAATGGTCATGAACTTGTTGCCCTTTGGACATTTGAGCGGTCATGAACTTTTTCAAGACCTTTTGTCGAGTAGAACGATTATGCTTTTTATACATCATTCTTAAACTATCCAATATGTCCTTGGCAAGCTCGATCTGATCGAATTGCCTCTGTATCGGATTGTCTAACGAGGCAATGATGTAACACTGGGCAAGGGAGTTTTTCTCCTCCCAGTCCTGATAGTCTCTCCTCCGGGCCTCATAAGCCCTATCACCCGGACGCTCCGGGGCAGGATTTTTAGCCACTTTGTCTAACTTTTTGAAAGTTAGGACCAGCATAAGGTTCCTATACCAGTCGTCATAGTTTGGGCCCTTCAGCTTGTTGTCATCAAGAAGCTTTGCAAATTGTTAGTTTGCCATTTTCTGATAAAAAAGCAAACATCAGTCCACAACCTAATTTGATTCATGTTCATTACATARATATGGMTTTTAATCTACGTTCCATTCCCATTTATTCATCTCTGAGATTTCTCTCCTATCTCAGTGACGGAGACTACGAATTGTCTCTGGAAATGTGGGAAATCACATAGAGTGCATGGAGCCAATTGTTTCAGGTACATAACCCCACCACCTTTCTGTGAATGATCATATCCATTCATCATATGAGCTTTGGTGATACTTCCTGCAGGGAGTGAGCTAAGCCAATCTTTAGCTCTATCACGCAATGAAAAAGGAAATAATCTAAGCCTAATAGCATCATCACTAACTCCATTATGTTTAAATGTATCACATATTTCTAAGAAGTTAACAATGTGTGCATTAGGGTCATCACTTGGTAACCCACTAAACTGAATACTTGTCTGGATCATCTGAATTATTGCAGGCTTGATTTCGAAATTGTTGGCCTGAATTGTGGGCTTGCAAATGCTGGAAGTCACCCCATCAATGGTTGGACAAGCATAGTCCAGGAGTGTGCGAATGGTTGGACAAGCACAGCCTGCTGGGTGCAAATGGATTGGATTCGATCCAATCCTATTTGGTTGAAATTCATATTACCCCTTGTTCGGATTGGAAAATAGGATCCTCGGATCCAATCAGAAATCGGGTTGGATTTGGATCACCCCCTATCCGGTTTGAGAAGATCTGATCCGATATATATTATATATTTATAAATTTAATACATATATGTTATTTATTTATTTATAAATACATTTTTATAGAATTGTTATATTATTTATTTTTTTATAAAAAATATGTATATATATGATGAAAATAATTAAAAATACTTGTATTTTTGTTTTTACTTTATTTAATATAGTATATTTTATTTTTTCTTTTAATAATTTATTAATTTGTAAAGAAAATAAGTTGGATTATATTAGATATGAAGATCCGACTTGCGAATAGGATTCGAATTCAATTAGAGTTCTATCAAATCTGGTCGGATCTTCGGATTGGATCGGACCCAACATGAACAATGTTGGATCGGATTCGAACATACCCAGGTTCGAATCTGATAAGATCCGTTTGCATACCTACATGTCGTTCATCATTACAAAACACCCCCAAACATGTTTCTCTTCCACAGAGGAATGCTTTTTTTCCTAATGTTTTAAAAATGACCCTAAATCGGAATTGTTCTGGCCATCGGTTTCTAGGTTAACGGTTTGAATGGACGATTCATTCTAACAAAAAAAAGACCATAAACTGTTGAATGGGTCAATAGTTCAACCGCTTGAAATCAATGGGTCATTGATTAATTCAACCGTTTTTGGCCAAGGACTGGGTTTGGGGTAAAATGGAATTGGTTACATATACAGTTTCCGAGCCAAACGATCTGACTATTTGGGTCAATGGTGGTTCAAAAATATTGTTTTTTTCACAAAGGAATGCTATTTTATTTTATTTTGAATGGCTACTCAACGGGGTAGCACATCCCCTTTCTCCACACAGTGGAACGTTTTTTTATATGAAATAAATTGTGCTACACAAGCTGGGGGAAGCACAACCCCATATGTCACTAAAGCAAATAAAATAAAGATCCATTGGAAGATTACAATAGATAAGACATCACCTTGTGAGTGAGCCAATCCGCTGCCTCGGTTGCCTCTCTAAACATGTGCCTATGTTGAACACCTCGCTTCAGCAACTCCTTCAACTTTAAGCAACCCAAGATGGTGTTCATAAGATTCCACAGTGGAGAAATATGCTCTTTTAAGCAGCCAATAACAATCTTCAAGTCCCCCTCAATCGTAGCTGGGCGGTCATTAAAGTTAAGGGCCATATTGTGAGCTTCCCACGCAACCCAAGCCTCAACCAAGTAGTGCCAAGAGTGAAACATTTGGAATCCAAGACCCTGCCTAAATGGTCTCTTACAATTGTTGTAACAGAACAAAACCCATATCTTAAACGAGAGGCATCAAAGTTGATCTTAATTTTACCATACTTGGGGGGATCCAAGTAATAAGATTACATTTTTCCTTTCTATGATGTGATCCGATTTATCTATAAGCTCTTGAAATTCTGAAAGCGCCTTGCTTGCCTTCTCGGCAATAAGCAGGGGATGATCCTCTTTGTTTTTAAATATTTTCCTATTCATATTCTTCCATATTTGCCATATAATGAACACACACTTTTCCTTCAAAAATTTTTTCTTCGTAATATCTCTCTTGTGAATAGTAGTCCACCAATCAACCATTTGATTACTCCCTAACCCCACACCAAACACAGTCCTCAACGAGTTACGCCAAATGGGGTCATATTTTTCATACCACGCTCACCAAACACCCCCTTACGAGTTACGGCATTTTTATGAACTCGAGAGGCTCGGTCCAAACCAAGTAGTTTTGGGAGTTTGGTGTCAAAGTGCCAAACGTGTCCATCACTCCATCGTGCAGCCCAGCACGTAAGAGATAACGTTTATCGCAATTCTCCGTTAGGGTAATACAACGGACGCCGTCATCCAATAAGAATGGAATCGATCGACCTCTATTTGCTTCACAAGAACTCCGTTGCTGTTGTTCATTAGAGCACCTGCTCTGAATCCCGAATTGCCTGATTCCTGAATCCTGATAACTATTCTAACAGTAAGAAAACCCTAGACCGTTCTCCTCCGTCGGCGTCTCCGGCTTAGGGTTTAAGCTTTTGGATTAAACAATTTTTATCAGTTGCAGCAGAGTTTCAGGTGTGGATTTATTTAGACGAGGCTGACGAGCTTAACATCTGGTTATGCTACATTATTCTCATTTCCCTATCGTTGATGCATTCTATTTTACTTTGTTGCCGCTGATTTATATTGAGCATTTTATCCGAATGTATCATTACTGAAGGCAACATTCCTCAATGATTTTCTGATTTGCTACATTTTTAACTTCCTTCAATCTCTCTTTCCCCTTTTCCATCGTTCACGTCATTTTCACTGTTGAGGACTGTGTCTGTGCACCAGGTCGATTTTTTTGCCTCCCAGGGTCAGGTTTTCCGCTATGTGAACTTGAACATAAAAGCAAGATCCTTTTTTTTTTTTTTTCTTATCGTGCTTCATGAATTTCATGCCATCCTTATTTAAAGAGTACATCTTCTTTGGCCTCTGTTAGAATGTTTCGACCATTTTATATAGATTGTTACTATCGATCTGGAACCGCAAACAATTTATGGAAGTGTGTATTTACACGGAACGAAAACACTTCATTTTGGCTTTTCATACAATTTGAATGCACATGTTGCCAATGTGACAAACTCATTACAGTATTCACATCGTTTCTAGATGCTCCCATATGTAACCGATTCTGGTCACCCATCAATGTATCAATTTTTTGGCTAAGTACCTCGTTAGTGACATCTACCCCCAAGTGGCCTGTGACTCAGAGGCTGAAGTGGAGTTCCCTAGTGGTGAGCTACCTAGTGGCGAACTGCCTAGTGGTGAGCTACTTGGTGGCGAATTGCCTGGTGGCGAACTACCTTGATGAGCTGCTTGGTGGTGAGCTATCTGGTGGCGAATTGCCTTGATGCCGAGCTCCCTAGTGTAGTGCAACCCGACTTCTACCGGTAGGAGGTGATCTGGCTACCAGTAACGACGGGAACTGAACTGACTACTGCTGGCGATGATCTGCTCATCTTTGTAAGCGGCGGGAGCTGAGGGACCTGCGAGAACTAAATCAGAGAACCTAGGGGTGTTTACCCGGTGAGGACACTCCGATGGCTAAGTTAGCACTTAGTGGAGAGCTGAGAATGATATTAGAGAATGAGAGAGCTAGAGAGCAGATGTTACCCATCATCTCTTATTGCCTCTTTTCGCCCCTGGGGGGTGAGGTCTTTATATACTGGAGTCCTCGTGGATTAGGTGGAGCAGTTCCTGGATTCCCGCTTTGATGGGACCTGCTTTCGTGTTAGGTGGGCATAAAGCCACCAACTGGTAAGGTTGCCCATTTCCGCCTGACTCGAGGAGTGGGTGAGCTAATATAGCCGGGTGAGCTAATATAGCCGTTACAAGTCACAATCCCGTAGAATGCGGGGTACGGTGGTGTGTTCCTCGAGGTTGTCAGGTTGGTGCGTGGCCCAGGCCGCCAGCTTGTGCCAGGGCCAGGCTGCCAGCTCGTGCCAGGGCCAGGCTGCCAGCTCGTGCCAGGCTAAGGCAAGTTGTTGTCTAAGTGGTACCGGGTGTCGCCTAGTTGTTCTGAGGTGCCAGGTTACATGAGGGTGAGCTGCCTGTGGCAAGCTGCCTAGTGGCGAGTTGCCTAGTTGTCAAGAGGCTGCACTTAGTTGGCATGAGGTGCCAGGTTTCATAATGTCATTGGAGGGCCAAATCCGCCCTCATCAGTATGGACCATTTTTTGCTCTAGTTGATCAAGTGTCTCAGTTGAAGAACTGCATTGGCAACCAGGAGTTCCTGTGCTGAAGTTCTTAAGGATTAAAGCCGTTAACATCCATTAGGTATTTTTTGTCGTTATTATTTAAGAGGTGGATAACTTCTGTCTTCTTTTTCTTTCTGGTTGAACAGGGGACTCTGGGTCAACATGGGATTTGACAACGAGTGTATACTGAATATTCAATCACTTGCTGGTGAATATTTCTGCCCTGTTTGTCGTCTGCTAGTCTACCCAAATGAAGCGATACAATCACAATGCACACATTTATACTGTAAACCCTGCTTAACCTACATAGTAAGCACTACACGAGCCTGCCCCTATGATGGCTATTTGGTAACGGAAGTGGATTCCAAGGTTTTCCCTCCCCTCTTTCCAAATTTTATTCTGTCTAAGCTTTTTTTCTATGTACTGCACAATGAATCAATGCTTTATGCTTTGCAGCCTCTGATTGAATCAAATAAAGCACTAGCTGAAACCATAGGCAAAATAGCTGTTCACTGCCTTTATCATAGAAGTGGATGTACCTGGCAGGGTGCATTGTCAGAATGCACATCTCATTGTGCTGGATGTGCCTATGGCAATTCACCTGTTGTATGCAACAGGTGCGGGACCCAAATCGTGCATCGCCAAGTACAGGAACATGCACAGAACTGCCCGGTGAGCATAAAAAGCTACTCTTATATCTTTCTGCCTCATGGGGTTGGTTATTGCTTCTGATGAATATTTGTGTAATAAAAACAGGGTGTGCAGCTTCAAGTACAGCAGGCAGAGGGTTCTCAGGATGCATCGACAGCTCCAGTTACAACATCTGCAGCTGAGCAGAATCAAGCTGTTCCTCAAACAGGGCTGCCAGCTTCTCAAGGTCAGCCCACACAGACTACTGTAGCTCTGTCTTCAGGACAGGAACAAAGTCAAGCAAGTACAAATGCTCAATCTCAAGTTGTAAATCAGACTATTCCAACTCCTGAACAATGGTATCAGCAACAACAACAATATCAACAATACTATCAGCAGTATCCTGGATATGACCCTTATCAACAACACTATCACCAGTATGATCCTTATCAACAAGCTCACCATCAATATCAACAACAGCATCCTCTGCATGCACAGGGTCAGCATCAATCTCAGGTTTACATGCAACCCCAACTCCAACCACATCCTCATCCTCAGCCCCAGCCCCAGCCCCAACTTCAGCCACAACCTCAGCCCCAGCCCCAGCCCCAGTCCCAACCTCAGCCTCACCCACAGGTCCAACCTCCAGCCCAGCCCCAACCCCATCCTCAGCCTCTTGCACACGTGCAGGTGCCTGTGACTGTGCAACCTCAAATGCAGTCACAGGTTAATTCACAACAGCAGCTTCACCCCACTGCACAGTCACATGCTCAAATCCAGCAACAGACTCATCCACCACCCCAGGGGCACCAACATCCTCAGCAATATCCTCAACCTCAGTCTCAAACGCAACCTCATTTGGTTCCATCTCATGGGCAGCAAAATCCACAAATACAACATCAACAACCTCATCACCAGATTCAACATCCTCAACCTCAACCTCAACCACAACCACAACCACAATCCCATTCTCAACCTCATCCCCTGCCTATCTCCCAGCACCATCCCCAAGGTCCTGCACACCAACAGGTGCAACCACAGCCTCAGCATCATCCCCATATTCAGCCCCAGCCCCAACCACAACCTCAGCCACAAAATCCATTAGTCCATTCTGTGACAGGTCACCAGTCCTATGTGCAACCTCAGCATCAGCAGATGCCTCCACTTGCTCCACAACAACATCCTGCCCATGTGCATGCTCAGCAGCAACCTGGTGTACCTCACCAAGTGCCTCAACATCATGTTCAAATGCCAAGTCAATTTCCTCCCCAGCAACCACATCATATTCGTCCACCCCAAACTCATGTTCATGTGCACCAGCAACAGCCAGCCATGCTGCTCCAACAAGGTCAACATTCAAACTTAGTTCCTGCTCAACAGCAGCCTGTGCATCCTCACATCTCTCAACCAGGTCAACAGCCTGTGGTCCATCAGCACCCAGGTTTGCAGCCACCTCAACAGAAACAACAAACTATGCCACAACAACAGTCACAACAGTTGTATAATCATTCCTCCCAAGGGCATTTGCAGCATTCTCAGCCTTTTCCAGGACAAACGCCTGCTTTGATTCACAGTCAACCTCATCAGCAAGGTGCTTTCATGCAGCAGCAGTCCATGCAGCCTCACTTGCGCCCTCAAGGTCAACCACCTGTTCAGCAGCTTTCTCAGAACCTGCAACACCAGACTCAGAATAATGCAGGAAGACCCCTGATACCAAGTCAAGGAGGGGCACAGCAACCATTCCTTCTTTCACCTGGTGGAGCTACAGGAGTGGGGCAGGTGAAGCCGGTACATCCTAGTGCAAATCAGCCTTCTCCAAATAAAAGTTATCCTCTAGGAACTGTCATCCATCCACAATTGTCTTCTGAACAAGTTGGTTACATACAACAACCTGTACTTGCACAATCTGGCAGACAAAATGCTCTATTTCCTGTTTTGCATGCTCAGCAGCCTGTATCAAATGGACAGATTTCTACTCGAGCCACCATGAAATCAACCTTATTTGATAAGCAAGGAGTTGCTTTGACTGAGAAAAGTACACATGAAGTCAACACTGAAACCCCTCAGGATATAGGTGGAAAGGAGACAAATGTCTCAGTGGCTGTGTCTTATGAAACTGCAGGTTCGATTGAATCAAAGGTGACAAAGTCTGAAAAGGATTTGAAGCCCTTGGCTGATGAGGGGAAGCCAATCCATAGTGATGAAGATAAAGGTAACCAGCTGGACACGACTGTCAAAGAGACTGTAGACTCCTCAGAGAGGCTGGAGGCACAGGCGAAGACCCATGTGCCAGAAGATGGTCCAGACGAGCCTGTAATTAAGGAGATGGTGAAAGAAGAGGCAGCTGATAAGTCATTGGAGCCATCATTAGGTCATAAAGATGATATAGTGGAAGACAGCGAAGATAAAAAAATTCAGGATGCCTCAGTTCATAAACAGCAAAATGAGATTCCTGAAAGACAAGATGAAAAGTCACAGAAGGATGCAATAGATGCTGATATCAGTGGTCAAGGTGTTGGTGGTGAAAGGGGGATCTTGAAGTCTCCTCATATGAATAAAGATCCTTTGCTACAGTCTTCTCACCAAGGTCTTGCTCCAAATCATGGACAGATATTATCTCATACTGGTAACGAGGAAAGAGTCCTGCCCCAGGCCCAGTTTCCTAGGCAAGGTCCCAATATAGATGATTATAGGGGCTTGCTTCCATCTGGTCAGGTGCAGGGTAAGGGCCTTCTGCAACCTCATCTAGGTCCAGGTCCTGATCAACAGCTTCCTGTGCATTATGGGTCTCCTCATCAGCAGCGGCTTCCTGTACCTGACCGTATGTTACAGTCTTCAATGCCCCCACAACATCAAATGCAGCCTCCAACCCATATGAGGCCTCAAGGACCCATTGGACATCTAAATCCACAAGGGCACCTTCCAATTCCACAAGAGCAGTTGCAGCCATTACTGTCAAAACAGCCTCATGGTACTTTCAATCATGAACTTCAGTCTGGTAGCTTTCCAGGTCCAGGACCCTCATCTTCATCTGGGAGGGGACCAATTAATTTAGGTCTTCCAAGAAGTTTGGAAGCACACCATATTGCTCCTCAAGTCTATCATAATCTAGGCAATACACCCCCTGCCCATACTGGTGGCCCAAGAATTCCTCATGGAGAGCCTGTTAGAGGTCCACCATTGGTTGGGCCAACTCCTGGGATATTTGATTCTCAAGGAGGTGCACTGCCAAGAGGAGTACCACATGGTATGGAAGGTCAGCTACATGGTGCCAATCCCATGCAAGCTGAAATGCTTGCAAATAAGAGGCCTGGATACTTTGATGGTAGACAACCTGACTCGCATCTTCCCGACTCTGCAGAGAGGGTACCATTTGGGCAGCCTTCTGGAATACAGGGCAATATGATGAAGATCAATGGCATCCCAGACAAGGTTTTGTCTGGTGGGGTGCCAGATCCGTTCTTTCCTCATGGTTTGTCAGAGGAAAGATTTAAGACTTTGCCAGAGGAGAGATACAAACGCTTACCAGAGGAAGTATTCAATCCATTGCCAGAGGAACGCTTCAAGCCTTTCCCATTGGAACCTGGTAGGCACCTTATTAATCGAAGAGAATTTGAAGATGATCTCAAACAATTTCCAAGACCAGCTCATCTTGATGCTGAATCCGTGTCGAAGTTTGAGAGATACTTATCCTCAAGACCTCTTGACAGGGGTTCTCATGGTTTTGGCATGGATGCTTCAAGAAGATCTCTTGATAGAGCACCTGGAGTTGGGCGTGATGCGGGATCCAAACTGGATGGCAGTGCTAGTGCTGCCTCTTTGAGGCTGTTGCCCTCTTATCAACCTGGTGGTTCATCAGTGCATTCATTGGACTTGGGTGAAAGATTAAGGCCAGTTGGTCTCCATGACGATAACATTGGGAGAAAGTCAGATCCTGCTGGGGTTCCTTCCGATTTCCTTAGACCTGTTTCTGAATTTGGTCGGCATCGTATGGATGGTTTGCCTCCTCTAAGAAGCCCTGGTAGAGAATACCCTGGCATTCCTTCAAGTAGATTTGGGGGCACATCACGCCTGGATAATATTGATGAGAGGGAATCACGTGCATTTGGTGAACGATCTAAACCTTTTAATCTTCCTCCAGAACCAATTGGTAGTGCATTTCGTGAAGGTAGGTTTTTGCGACGGGGTGAGACTGATGGTCCTGGTAATATGCGAATTGGTGAACAGATTCTGTCTGGTGGTTTGCCTCCTCATTTGAGGGGTGGTGATTTGGCAGGTTCTGATATTCTGCCTAGCCACTTACGTAGCCGTGAGCCTCTTGTATCTGGTGGTTTGAGTCATTTGCGGGATGGAGAGCATGTAGGTCCTCGTGGATTGCTCAGTCATCTACGTATGGGTGAGCCAGCTGGTTTTGGTGCCCTTCCTGCACATTTACGGATGGGTGAACTGGCAGGGACTGGGAATTTGCCTTCACATCTTCATATTGGTGAATCAATTGGTGGAGGTAACTTGCTAACAAATTCACGATGTGGTGAGCCTGGTTTTGGGGTCAACTATCCTGTTCAAGGACATCCAAGTGATAGTGGATTTTACCCTGTAAGTGTTAGTCTGAGCTTATAATTAGTGATTGTCATCAATTCCTGCTGGTGTGCTAAATTTGTTTCCTTCATTAGTTGTTTGTCTGCGTGCAGTATAGATCAGGTGTTTGCATTGCAAACCTCAAGTATTTTTTCATAGATTTTTCAGTATTTACGTTCATCTCTTTCAATCTTATCAGGGAGACATAGAGTTATTTGATCACTCAAGAAAGAGGAAGTCTGGTAGCATGGGTTGGTGTCGTATATGTAAATTGGACTGTGAAACTGTGGAGGGTCTTGACCTTCACTCACAAACAAGAGAGCATCAAAAGATGGCCATGGATATGGTCTTAAGCATCAAGAAGGATAATGCAAAGAAACAGAAGCTGTATGCTCCATCTATTAATTCCATTATGATTTTTCATTAGAATTTGGATGTTGATTTTTTTTCCTTCATGAGAAGAACTGATCATTGCTTTTATCCATGTGTTGTTTTGCAATTATGCAGAGCATCAGATGACCATACCTCAGGTGAAGATGCAAGCAAGTCCAGAAAGGTTACTTTTGAGAGTCGTGGAAACAAACATTAGATCTCATAGTTACTTCAACATGCATCTAATTGCCAATGTTTGAGAAATTGATTGGTTGCTGACCGGAATTCATTTTGTTTTGTTTCTTCAGTAATTTTGCATCAGATATGAAGACATTTAGGTGATTTACCCTCCTACATCTGCCTTATGTTTCTGGAGTGGTTTATGCTAGCTATTATTGGTTCAACTTGCTGCTATGTTTAATGGAGATGCCTTTTTGGAACTGGAGTTCTCTTACGAGTTAATTTTGTTTTGTTTATAGCTGTGACTTCTTTAGCCTGCAATGGAATAGGCTTATATCAACTTAACTGCTTCTTGTTTTGTTGGTAATGTTACTAAAGTGCTAGTCTTTTGCTCTTTTGGTATTTGCCTGCTACTGTATCCAGTCCATTCCATTGCAGTATGCATTGTATCTTTGGATACATAAATATTTAGGTTAAATTGGAGGTCTATGTGAGGCTTATTATGATTATAACATACTTAATAGCTTAATACAGTGTTTTCTACTTTGTGTGGCCTTCTACCTGGACATGGCCTCTTTCCAAAGTCCAAACTATTAATTAAAGCTTTGTTGTATCAAATTCACAATGTCAACTCAATTCAGCTAAGTCTTGTCCCAACTATATGGGTCAGCTACATGAACTCTTTAATGCCAGTCCATTCTTTTCGAATGAAATGACAATTCAGGATCCATACTATTAATAGAGGCAAAAAGTTTTAATGTGCTTACTAGACAACTTTTTCCTTTATCCAAGATTGTGAATTGGCATCTGCAGTGCAAGACAAGCTCAACACTGGTAGGGTTTTTGTTGTCACAATTTCTTGCTACTATTTCTTTGGTTCAAAAATTGGCCAGGTTTTAATGTCCTTTATCTTCCTTTCATTTCTTCTGCCTGTCTTGCATTTGGAGTTGGTGTAAATCATACTTGGTGGAAAAATACCTACCGTGGATGGTAGTTTTGTCAACAAGTTAATCTTTGTTTCATTATACTTGTCCCTCTTTCTTGCTTTCCTTCTCTGTTAATCTCTTTTCCATCCTGCCATATGAGTGACCCACTATTAGATTGATGTGGGAGTGAATTTGATGCCTCAGATGTGGTGTATTGGAGTTCCAAGTTGGGCCTTACTCACTGTACAATCTTGATTGCCTTATTCTGTAGTCATGGACCTCATGGCTATGTTCATATAATTGTCATACTTGTCATTTCGTTATTATTGCTTGGTTAATGCATATTTCCTGTCTTCTATGCCCTTCTGTCTATTTTTTTCTTCTTCATATTGTTTATCCTTCTTGTGAAATTAGATCCATCATTTCTAAAAATAGAATAACATTGTGCCCTAAGCACTGGATTGACATGGACTTTATGCTTTTGACTTGTTCTACAATATTCCCTTTTCAAATTTCTTCATTCCACTTTGGTATATTGGATGAGCCATACATGACATTCTGATCTTTTTTTATCCCTCTTTCCAATTTCTTCACTGTTTTGTATTTTTTTTTTCTAATTTATGTACCTGATCCGACAAAATCTGCATGTGTCATCAAGAATCTCAGATGAGGGTATGAATTAATAATGACCACATTTTTTAATCAATAACCAGAATTTATTAATTTGAGAAAAAAGAGTACAATTACAACAACTTGCAGACAGTCAGTGAAAGACAAAACCACTTATCTCTTCCCTATTTATTATTTCTTTTTCTTACACTTGTGCAGTTGTGCCCAAGAAAAAGATGATCTCTCCCCACCCCTTGTTTAGTTAATATATCTGCCATATATTAACAGTCCTTTTAACCTATTGCGGTTTCATTTCCGTATCCTAAATAATGATCATAGTGCTTGGTTTTAGCTTCTATCTTGTATTGTTACAACCATTGGGTATTCATTTATTTTTTGATGAATACCAGTAGGCATTTTTTTTGGCATTGAATAGTTACTAAAATTTCTTATCTTTTCCCTATTTTCTATGTTATGACATTATTTAATGTCCCTTTACTTTCTGCCCTTCCCTGTTTAAATTAAGCTGTGGCGTTTGGAGCCTCTCTTAACATTTTATGTGAGGGATCTTTCTTGTGAGTTGTGAAAGGAAAAAATGGAAAACAAGCTCTGTGTTCTTCCCAATAAATGTTTTTTCCTATTATGGGTATTGTGGTTTCAGAAAGTGGAATCAACCCCCTCTTTTTGCTTTGATTCAGAGTATAAGAATCATATAGGTTGGATATGTTGAATGAAAGAAAGATTTGAAAATAACCATGGCAACTTCCGGCTTACATGGTTAATCATCAAAATGGTAGAAAAGATCATCATTTATCACCATCATCATGTAAACCTATTTTCTGACTATATGGGTGTCTGCTATATTAATCCTGGCCTACCATTCTGTTCTGTTCAGTGTCATATCCATTGTTAAATTATGGGCCCTTAGCTATGTTAAAATATGGAAGTTTTGGTAGTTAAGGCATTGAGTACTACATTAAAAAGTTTGCAGCCAAACAATAGAGTTTCTTTGGTCCAAATTATATATTAAAATTCTTTTAGAGTGTATTCATGGAAAATAACTTTGAAAATGCTTTATATTAGTAGGATATACAAAGCGGTAGTTGGAGCATTTTCATCTACTATATTGTAATTAATTTTTATTTTATTTTGTTTTGCATGATTTGGCATTTTGACACCATTATCTCCTGTATGATATGTGGAAGAAAAGAATTATCAGGAGGGCTTAAGACTGGGGCCACTTGTATCTCTCTAACTTCCAAAAGAGGTTGATCAACTACAACCATGGAAACTTAGTTGGCATTAAGTTCTTTCATGAGAATCAACTGTTAGAAAATTGAACCTTGGTGCCCTTTTTTCATGATTAGTAGCTCAAAATTTCATTGAAAGAGGAAAAAAACATAGCTTACATGGAATCCCGAGTGGTAGGAGATCTTGTGGATTTGCAAGCACACATTGTAGACATGGGTTGCAAGAAAAACTAAGAATCTAATATCATATACAACATTGGTCCAATAAAGGATATACAGATCTAAGGTCGTATTTTGATAACAATTATAAATTTGAGATGCGTTTGGATAGGAACATTTGGAAATATTTAGGGATAGTTGAATAAGAATAATGGGCAGTCATTATTTGTTGTAGGCATTGAGCTAATTGGTGTTGTTAATGACATGAAACTGTACTTCATCCTCCTAGAGTTGTTGAAGGAAATTTACAGAAGAGATGTTCAAGATAAAAGGTACCAATCAAGCCGTTCAAGTGCTACTTTCCAAAGGAAAAATCTGAACAAAGTTGTAAAGAGCCACTCAACTTATGAAAGATCAGAGAGGAGTGCTTTTAAACATAAACCCTTAGTTCACATCTTGAGCTTTTTCCCAGGTCTTTAGCTACTGCAAGGCATAGTTTTCAAGGTGCCAAGGCGAGGCTAGGCGACAGGGGGGCGCCTTGTCGCCTAGTTGCCTAGGCGCCCGCCTAGGTGATGGATATTTTAAAGTAAAAATCACATCTCCTAGGGTAGTTTCCCTAGGTTCCATAACCAACTTTCTTTAATAACTATCCATAATTTTCATAAGAAAATTATAAACTTTATGTTTATGTTTAGAAAATCAACATATTTATGAGAAGAAAAAGAAGAAAGGAAAGAAAATTCAAAAAATATAGGGGCTGAACCCCTATTTTTGTTGTAGGAAAAGAAGAAGAAGATGTGGAAGAAGAAATTTGTTGATTAGACAAAATTTTAAGTTCTTCCCTTATTGGTTCAGATTTTGAAGTCATTGAGGGTTCAATAAAGCAGTTAGCAATGTTTGTGTTGATTAAACCCTAACAAATAAGAAAATAATAAAAAGAAATTAGTTTATAAACACAAAAAACGAATATTTTTCTTTAATAATGTCTATTTTATAATTATAATATAAAAAAATAACAATATAAAGGTATTTTATTACACAGTATGCAAAACTGCTTGGCGACTGGGCGAGGCGAGCCTCCAAGGGCAACTTGTCGCCTAGGTGTTGCCTTGACAACTATGCTGCAAGGCAACTCTGATTGATTCTTCATTGTAACAGAATAGTATATATAGTATAGTTGAGTATATTGGCACTGTTCATACATAGGTGGTTAGTTTCTGCTATCCTTATTCCCTACATATGGTTTTTATTAATGAATGTGAAATCATTAGACATGATGTATCTGTTGGCTCTAGGTCAGTAAATGGTCATGATGACTCTAACATAGAGAAGGAGGATATGGTATCATGAATCTGATGAAGGCATTCCTAATATGTTGCTCCCCTTCATTATTTCTGAGCTGTAAAGGTCTTTAATTTGGAAGTAGTTTTTTTGTTAGCTGATCAACTTGTGGAAGGTGGGTAAATAAGGTTTATGCAATTAATACCCGAAGCTGTCTGTTAGAATTTTTGACATTTAGTTATTTCTCTTTGAAAGGTTTGTTCACTGTTTGCTGGTGGTTATTGATCTGGATTTCTGTTTTGCTGGGAACTATGAAGGGCTATATCCAGAAAGTGTTGGCCATATGTGGTGACTTTATAAGAAAAAGTGTTGACACAATCTTCTACTGTTTGAATTAGGAGTCGTAGGAAATCAGATATGAGATGGTAGCTGTTAATTGGGCAAAGGTTTTATTCTATTTGGTATTGGCATATGCTGTGATCTTAAGGTTAGGTTTTTGATAATGAGAAGATCATTAATATTCTACTGTTTTTGAGAGTTATGTCTTTTTTGACTACTTTGCAGTAGTATTCAAGTTTTTCTGTTGTGTCTATTGATTATGGTGAGGGTTTTATGCTATTTGAAGTTGGGCCGTACTGGCTTGAGATTGCACATCATTTTTTAAACATGCCTATGGCCCTGGAGTAAAAAGCTGAATATTCTTGTGTTATGAGATTGCACGTCATCTTGGAAATCTGGAAGGAAAATGCTTAGGGGGCTTTAATACCCAAGCCCAAGTTGTACTGGATTTTCATTTTTCACTGTAAAGGAGCTTTATCCCACTGTCACAAACGTGGTTACTAGTTTGCCATTCTTACGGGCTCTTCTCATGGTTTTCTTTCTTTCTTTTTTTTTTTACTTTTTGCATTAGTTTTTTTTTGCATTAGTTCCCTATGCTCTTTTTGATCACTAACAGAACAAATATTAAAAAAAATGGAGAAAGTACAGAGAGTGAACATGTAAAAGGCCAAGACCAGTCTGCACTCCCAGCAACCCTCTCAAAAAATAATAAAATAAAATGTAAGAAGAACAAGCATCAACCTCAAGCCCACAAGTCTGCCAACAAGTTTAATGATCTGTATACCCACTTGAGCTAGGTGTTCAACCTGAATGCCAAAGACCTTGCCTCTCTAAGAGAATGCAAATTCTTCCACACAGCAGATGCATTTCCCATCATCCATCCTTTTGCCACCTGTGAATCTTCAATCTCTGTAGTGGAGTTGCCCTTGGAAACCGCTGATATCAGCCCTTGAAAAAGAGTTAACTTTTCAACATTTATTGAAGTCATATTCTGAATTGGGTCTGAATATTTTTGATCAAATTGGGTCTGAATATTAGTTTATCACCTTCTTGGTTGTGGAAAGCCCTTCCTATCACTGGTAGGTCCTGTGTTACCTATGCTACAACCTTCAAAGTTAAGCTTTGAGAAGAGATTGTTGCCATTCTTCTAATTCAAGAGAACGTTGCTGCATGTCAGCCCTGAATGATGTCCTTTGTACTGTATGCTTGTAACTTGTCAAGTGTCTTGAACCATCATACTATTCTTGCTTCACTTGTCTCTATAACAGCGTCTTCACTGTCTGTCTTATTCTTTAAAATTTCTTTTCTTTCTTTCTTCTTGTTTATTGTTATCCCTTGCTAACCATAGAACAGTGATTTGAAGAGATATCCACACCTTCCCCTGAGGACAAAAGAAGAGGATGTGAATAGGCTCTTTGTCTATTGGTGGAATCCACCTAAAGAATGCTCCCAAATGCTAGAAACAGATGAGTAGGGGATTAACAAATGGCAGTTATTTCATAGGGAGTTTTACAATGAATACACCTACAAGAAGAATATCCTTCCAAATCAAGGAATCTCATATATACTAGTTTAAGGTGAATAACCTTCCAGAAAAATGTCGATAGCCTTGGGCAAGTTGACGTTAGCCAGGCTAGCAAATTGTATAGGTGGCCACAACTGAGAATTTTTTTAGTATTCAATTATAAATAAAACAGTGTTGCACTTAACCCTGACCAAATCCCTCTATGAGATTTTATTGAGTTGCCACCCACCCAATCACCCATATTTGGTTTGAGGGGCAGTTATTGAGGATTCTTAAAAACAATGAATAAGGCTTGAGAAATTGTAATATTGAGCAAGCCTGTGGTACCCAACTTGCATTCCTATGTTTTCTGTTGAATCTGCCCCCTAATTGCACAAGCCCACCAGCCACTTTGTTACTCAATAATGTTGTATGCACCATGAACCATTTTAGCCAACATATGATTAATAAAATCTGAGGACTTTATCTTTTCTGTAATCCTTAAGCTTTAGGTTCATTGCATTGTCCTCCGGTCCCATAGATTTTTTTGGATGAATTTGGTCCTCTGAGACTAAACCTGCTAAAGTTTGTTTCAGTTTTGTTCATAATACATAGAACTGAAATGGGAGCAATGCGATGAGAAGTAATGGATAAAATTAGTTTTTATCCTTTTGGATGAGATTGCTCTATTGATGACCGGGGTAGTACATTGGTTAAAAACCTTGGAGAAACTGGGTTGTGGTGGCCAGTAGCATTTCCAAGAAGGATAAATTTAGTTTGGGTACCTCCTTTGGAAGGTTATTTGAAGCTAAATTTTGATGGGAGTAGGTAATCCAGGCCCTTCTGGAATAGGAGGGGTAGTGAGAGAGACTAGGATGGAAATGTCTTGTCTGATTGAGAGACTCTAAGGTAGTTGTGGACTTGGGGTGGTTGAATGATCTGGACACTATCATCTGGAGCTATAGGGATTAAATTAAGAAGTTCAAGTGGCTAATAAGAAGTATGGATTTGAGAATAAAATGGGGTCAGAGATCAGGAAATGATATAGATGTTTCTTTAGCCAAACAAGGGGCAAATTGGGATATGGTTTATTGGGCTCAGTAGTAATCTGTTTGTTTCTTTAGTTTGTAATTTTACTACTATTGTGGGAAGGTTTGCAGCTTGCACCTCTCTAAGGGTTGCTTGTAGTGATTTGTGTCTTTTGATAATAAAATTTTAATTGCTTGTAAAAAAATGAGATTGCTCTAGTGTATGGTTTATTTCTCTCTTTGTCATGGCTAAGAAAAGGTGTCTTTTTGAGCTACTAAGGAAACATTAGAAACACTGATTTTGTGTTGTGGAAAATCAATAAAAATTGTTTTACCTTTAATTTTTCTGCAATAAGTTGAGGAATGTTGGTATTTGATGTTGGTTGATCATTTCATCTTAGACTTCTCAATTCATTCTGTCTTGGGTTTGTGTTCGCAAAGCAGACATAGAAATGGTTAGAAGTTCAGCATGATGGGCATGAGTTCACTCCTTTTCTTTTCCTTCTTGGTAAGATTAAGTCCTATGTACATTTATGCTTTTTAGCTAAGTTTTCTTCTTACTCTGGATTCTCCTGGAAATTGTATTCTTGTTCTTAGTCATAATCTTGTCATTGGCAAGCCACTGAAGCTTTTTATTGTTCCTTGTATCTAGTGTTGAAAAAGATCCTGTTCTCTTGATCAACTAAAGAAAGTATGCATTTTTCTTGAAACAGCCAAGTAATTAAAATCACCAAAATTTTTTTGATCAATAATTTCCTGAAAAAATTTGGAAGACAGCAATGCAATGATAATGCAATCTGTTATCCAATTGGTCATTGGGTTATTACCTTCTCATCCTAGTTGTAGCACCTTGGAGACTGTTTTATTGGTTTGTTGTTTTAGCTTTTTAAAAGCTTTAGGTTGCGAGTAGCACTTTTTTAAAGGATTGCTTTTAGTTCTAATTGGAGATTACCTTTTTTATATTGTCAGTGCAATAGACATAGGGTCTTAATCTCAGACTACCTTGTGTCTATAATCTGAAACAATTTTCCAGCTGTCAAATACTACATTTTCTGCAAACTTTGGTTTTTATTTATTTTATTTTGTTCTGCAATTTATTCTTTTCCTAAAATATGGGTATTTATCTGATCTTGGGTTTTTAAAAATTGAAAAGATTACAATAATGTTTGGCCATTAATGTAAATTGGAAGTAACTAACATGTATGAACCATTGTAATAAAGTCTGCCAGGTGTTGCCTAGGTGTGGCATATATAGGGGGTATTACTCCAATGTTGGTCCTGGCTATCTTGGGTGTTGGAAGGTGGAGTGGATACATACCTGTCCTTTGGCTTTTTCTTGCGAGTGGCTGGTCTCTGACTTGAACCCTTGTTCTCACATTTGTCAATTTGATATTATAAATGATGTATATATCAGTGTAAACATATTAACTATTAGATACATAAAGAAATGTTTGGTGAGACTGTGAGAGATACATACACGTCTGTGATGAAAGATAGACATCTGGTGTGACCATGAGAGGTACCTAATGATAGATTCAAATAAGAAAATTGCAGAATGCTTCTCACAGTCAAGGAAACAGGGGGGCATTGACATGGGGAAATATGAATAATTAAGAAAAAAACAAATTACACCATAATAGAGAAATATAATAAAAAACAAGGGAATAAACTTTGAATGAAATTAAAAACACAATATTTTCCCCTTACCATTTATATTAAAAATGGAAAAAAAAGAGTTACATGCATTGATTTAAGAACTGTTCAGTAACTGTTACTATAGGTAGTTATTAACACAGAAGAATACAGTTTCTGAGTAATTTCAAAGAGGCAGAAAGGGGTGATTTGTGAATTGGACCTTGGGAAGGCCTATGTTTATTTGCACCTGGAAATCTTTTTTCTTTTTCTATAAAGCTGGGTTTTGGAAGGAAATGGATTCGAAGGATGATGGTATTCGAAGGATGATGGTACTCTGTTCTGATTAGCTGATCCTCTAAGGGATATTTTTAAGGTAACTTGGGTTTAAAATAAGGAAAACCCTCTGTCCTTGGTTGTGTTCATTTTTGTAGTGGATGCTCTTAGCTCTTTTTTAAAGAGAGTTGAAGAGAATGTGATGGAACCTGCCTCCTGAAGTAAATCTGCTTTTTGATCCGTCTTTTTTTGGTTGACCAACAAAGAGAGGGAAAGTAATGTGGGAATGTATTAGGGCAGCCCTCTTATGGACCATTCGGGAGGAAAGAAATGCCAGAATTTTCTAGGAGGAGAGAAGCATTGCTGAAATAAAGGATTGTATACTGACAATGGCAATCCTTTGGTTACCCCCATCATCCAAGAAAAATAGAACACAAGCAAGTTGGTTACCCCCTCCGGAAGGAGTTGTAAAGTTGAACTTTGATGGGAGCAGTCATGAGTCAAGGCAATCCAGAACCTTCGGGTATAGGAGGGATCTTGAGGAATAAGGATGGTAACATTCTGTCCTTATTCTCAGGTCCAGTGGGTTGGAGACTCTACAAGGGCTGAGATATTAACTGTGGTACAAGGACTACAGATTTCCAACCAACTTGGAGTGACTAATTTGATAGTAGAAGGAGACTCTAAGGTGATAGTGGGATGGATGTTGGACCCAGAAACTGTTTTTTGGGGATATAAGGACATCATCAAAAAAGTCAAATGGCTTACAAGAACCATGTCAGTTAGCTTTCAGTGGGTTAGTAGATCGGCAAATGCTTTGGCAAATTCTTTAGCTAAATAAGGGGCTTCAAGGGATTCTCTGTTTTTGGCTAATTTGTAACTGCAATCTGAAAAGAGTTGGGCTTGGAACCACCTTTAAGGGGAGGTAATACCTCGTGCCTCCTCTTAGGGTGTTTCATGCTTGTACTATTTCTATCTCTATTTAGTAAAATACCATTCATTCATAAAAGAAAAAAAATCATTGTTGACAGGGAGAGTGGAATGGTCTCTCTTTTGCTTTTTGCGGATGACACGGTCATCTTTTGTGAATTCACAAGTGTTGAGGATATGTTGTTGGGTTGAAGAGCATTCAGAATTTACAATTTGATGAAATTGAAGGGAGTAGAAGTATTTTTAATAATTCCTGCTCCCAATTTGATGAAATTACATCTGGGTTTTATTCATAATAGCTTTCAGAACTTACATTATTCTTCTTTCTTAGAGTCCATGGTCCTTTTTTGAGTTCTTTTGGGTTAATCGGGTAACATTTGGTCTAAACTTGAATAATTCCAAAGAAGTTATAATTACACACTTAGGATCTAAAGGATCATAACTCTAGAATATATGTTCAATAAGACGGACACTGAAGGAATTATAAGTACAATTATCTGGGTGCGCAAACATGATCAACATGACAAATGTAAAGTTTGCACACAGGGACCAACTTCAAACACTTGCCCCTTTTAATGGAGGTCATAATACTGTATTCAACATAAAAAAATAATATTATGCCCCCTTCTTCATGCTATTAAGTATTCATATGGATGGTTTCTTGTGATTTTTATTATTTTCATGTTCTGTATGAGTCCTTTGTCAGTAATAGGTTGTAGCTTTAATAGTAAATAAAAATAAAAATGTTTTTCTATTTAAAATTCAATTTAATACAATTGAGTATAATAAAAGCTTATTATTATATGGGCTACAGGCATTTTGTTTTTTCTTCTCTTCAATAACCCTTTGGCCTTCCTCTAGTTCTCCTAGAAACCTTTGTTTAGTCATGTTGTCTGATCATACAGGGAAAGTTCAATTGTGTGCTGTTCAAACGTGGACTAGGGAGAGTTAGAATTGTGACTGGCCTCTGAATGGATATGATTCCTCTTGTTCTTCATCCTGAAAAATAAAATGGGCCTTCTGAAGAAATTTGGTATGTTCTTTATACATCTCTTGCCGATGATTGATCTCTTTGGTCGCTCCAAGATGTTGGTCATTCATGCTAGTTCTGTGAGTGAACTTGTTTTGAATTATGATATGAATCCCTCGTTTCACGTCTCAATAGATGTTGCTTTTCTAGTACCAATTTGGCAAGTTAATAATTTCTTGGATTGTTCCCAACTAGAATCTTTTTTGTTGCTTCTGGGAATCTGGGTTGCAATTTATTTTGTTTCTGTCATGTAACATGTATTTTTACTACTATTTACTGTATCTTGCCTAGTTCACGAAGTTTGGGTAGCCTACCTTTAAACCCAGGTAAACAGAAATTACCAAACATACTAAGAATTACAATGTAGCCTCCCAGCTGAAAATATTGTCCTAGTTAACTTTCATTCACCTTGTACTTCATAAAATTTTTATATTATAAAGTGCTTTCATAGTAGTACTTTTTTAAAAGGTACAAAGTTTATGTTAGGCCTGAGTTTTTTTTGGCTCAAGTCCATCTCGAAGCCCGAAAGCTCAAGCTGAATCTGTGCAAATTCTCTGGTTGGGCCGGGCCAAGCTCGGGTTGGGCTCGCCCAAGTTACACCGACCCCTTTTCCCTCAAATTCTTTTAACAAAGCCCTTTCATCGAACGGATCCCTGCTAGGGACAAATTTACACTTTTTTGGGTGAGCTCAAGAACAATTTTGTTTTTCCTTCCAAATTTAGTGGTAATAATAAAAACTTTAGGGGTTTTTATAGATCATAAATTTTTCTAGCTTTGTACAGCTGGAGCAGTGACAGGTGTCAGGTGGGGTATCATCTATCACAATACATGGGTGGTACTGTAGCTAAGCTGGGGGTTTGGGACAATAAATTCAGGAAACCAATAAAAAATTGTGAGAGGGGGAGCAAACCATAAATTTCCCAAAACCTTATTAGGTACATGGGGCATAAAGAAATCTTCAGAGGTAACAA